AAACCCGAAACCCTAAATCCCACCCAAAAAAAACCTGAACCCGGCCCAGGAATCTGAAGATCTTCCGGGCCTTCCGGGCTCTTCGTATCCTGCGGCTGCTGCGTCTGCGCCACGGCTGCTATTTGAGCAGAGGGTTTAGGGCTTAGGGATATAGGGTTTAGGGTTTAGGGCTGTCTTGTGGTTGGGGTTCCAGACAGGGGTTTTCGAGCCCGTCAGGTTTCGGTAATCTGGGGTTATATATATATATATATATAGAGAGAGAGAGAGGTTTTTCTCTATCAATCTATCTATCTATCTATCTGTCTATCTATCTATCAATCTACCTATCAATTTATCTATCTATCTATGTATCTTTCTATCTATCTATCTATCTTTCTATCTATCTATCTTTCTATCTATCTATCTATTTATCTATCTATATATATATATATATATGTCTATCATTCATTGGCTATCAGTAGACGGTTTCATAAGGTGTATATTTCTATATATATATATATATACACACACACACCCATATGTCTCTATATATATATATATATCTCTCTCTCTCTCTCTCTTTGACTTATTTATTTGTTTTTACCTCCACATAAAGTTATGTAATGCTATAGTGCTTCTAGGATGTTTAAGCTCTTCGCTGTTTTCCTTTCTCAGTACTGGTGTCGATTTTTAAATAATGATAGTACTATAGGGGCCTAAATAATTACCAATACTATTTTGGGAGATCCTTATTGTAATTATAGGTATAATGGAGCCCAGAACCCTATCCTAATTATTATGGCCCTTACAGTACCACATTGCTGCAAGATGTAGGGTGCACTACTAGTTCCGGGTCGTCAGTAGAGGACGGGTATTCAAATTTGGGCAACGTTTTTTGTTCAGGGCACATGGTGGCCTCTTTTGAGTCGATTACGGGTGGTGTTGCGCAAATGCTTGCATCACACTTTTCAACTTGCTCTCTGTGATTTGTTGGTTTGCGGCAGCTGATTCGGCAGCGTACGTCACTGCTCAGGTTGTTCTGAGTCTTGCAGTGTCGTGTCTGGAACAAAGCGGCCCTTGAACCAAGAGTAAGATCCTTACTGTAAGAACAGAAGGAACCCCCCCACCCCCTCGCCAGATCTCGTTTCAAGAAGCCCCGCACGTGAGACGAAGAGAGGAGCCCACATGGCTACTAGCACCGTGCCTTCTTCCCAGACGCTTCAAACAAAGGATCTAAAGGCAAAAGTCGCCCCCCCAGAAGGTATCCTACGAGTTTTTGGCTAAGATACCCTATAAGCCTCCAGGTACCTACTATATAGGGCCCTAAGGGCTCTAGTACCTTATATAGTAGGTACCTGGGGGGTTAGGGATAAGGCCCTGTCTAATTAAAGGCTGTAGGTATGCATCAAGCCTTAAAACCTTGCAGACCGGGAGCCCTAAACACTCGTACTCATCATTTAGGTAGTTTTCTAAATTAGGGCCCCTTTGGTTCCCAAATATAGTACGGCACCATTTTAAAAAGGACCCCGAAGGGACCCTAGTTTAGAGAACTACCCGTTTAGACCCTGTAGAGAAAACTTGCGGGCCAGATCTCTGAGATTTAGGGTCTGGGCTTCGGGTTGAGGTGGGGGGTGTGAGGTTTCAAACTTAGATATGGATTCGGATATTACTGTCCTTAGGGTCTAGGTCTTGCAGATGCAGATGTCGGGTTTCGTGCTTTTGGGGGTTTAGTTTACAGGTTAGGGTCTGTGTAAAGGGAGCCTCGGTTAGAGATCTTCCCACACGAAGCTCCAAACCCTAGAGAGTTTGGGTTTAGGGTTTAGGGTTTAGGGTTTAGGGCTTAGGGTTTAGGGTTCAGGGTTTAGGGCTTAGGGCTTAGGGTTCAGGGTTTAGGGCTTAGGGCTAGACCCTTCCCCGCCACCGGAGCCGATGCAGGTTAAAGCTCCAGCGCATCGTCAACATCGCCTACGACTTCATCAGCAGCCAAGGGCCCAGTCCTGTTGTTATTAATGCCAGTATGACCAGGTCCATATGACCTTAGTGTAGTTCATCAGCAGCCAAGGGCCTAGTCCTGTTGTTGCTTATGCCAGGCAGCAGGTCCATATGACCTTAGTCTTATGCCAGGCAGCAGGTCCATACATGACCTTATAATGTAGAAGAGCTATCCCAAAACAGCAGCCTGGCCACTAGTTTTTTGTTTGAGTTGGTGCCAGAGTGTAGACCTGCATTCAGGTTGAAAGTTTGTGCCAGGACAATAAATTACTATATCTTCAACCCATATATATAATATATATATATATAGATAGATAGACATATATATATATATATATGGAAGCTTTCCAGGCTCCTGTTGGGTTTTGTGACTGCGGGCGGGATCCCAAGAATTCTGCAAGAAGGCACTTAACCGCTTGGTGCAAGTGAGGGTAACGGGTAATATGGCCAGAATCTGAAGCCGTCAATTGTGACTAGGCTCTGACGAGACTACAGCAGAAATCCATACAGGAACCGGGCGTAAACAAGGAGAGCCGTATGATTCGACACCCTGTAGAGAACATAGGACAATGCAGAAGCCTCAACACTTTCGAGTGCTATAGTGAGACGACTCGCGAATCTACGTGGACGTATCTATACACACATATATATATATATATATATATATACACAGAAATATACAGATCGTGTACACAGTGGTTCATGTATTGCTACTTTGTGCTGGGCAATTGACTAGTAAGTGTGGCTACATGTATGTATGTATGTATGTATGTATGTATGTATGTATGTATGTATGTATGTATGTATGTATGTATGGAACGGATGGATGGATAGATGGATGGATGGATGGATGGATGGATGGATGGATGCATTCATGTATGCATGTATGCAAGTATGTATGTATGTAATAATGATTGTATGAATGCAATGCATGCATGCATGCATGTATGCATGTATGTATGTAGGCATGTATATAGGGACTTCATCGCATCGGAGTATGCAGATCGACAATTCCGAATTTGGATCTCCCGTAACCTAATGGGAAGACGCGATTTCCCAAGCGAGCTCAAAGCCCCGAAAGGCTTAGGCCCGAAGTTTCAGTTTAAAAGTCGACGCAAGTGTTGAACAAACGTTCGATCCCTCTGCCCGGTCCATAACCCTAAAAGCCTATAGTCCTAAAAGGTTAAGCCCTAGAGCCCCAAATCCCTGAGCCCTAAAACCCTAAAACAGAACATCATGCACCAGGCGAGTATGCTTTCATCATGATCGGCATGCTCCGACTCGCATCCTGGCTCATGGCCTCCCTTTCAAGGGTTTTTAGGGTTTAGTTTTTGGAGTTTAAGGCTCGGGGTTCAGGATTTGGAGTTTCGGGTTCAGGCTTTCGGGAAGGAGCCTACTCGAGAATCCCAGGCTCTTCGTCCACGTTTAGCTTATTGTAGCAAGCGTCGTGCGCAACTGGGGTGTTCTTGGTCAATCACTTTGCTGCAACTCCGAAGTTTGGGGTTTAGAGTTTAGGGGCTTCGTGTGTGTGTGTGTGACCAGGTTCTCAAGCAGTTTTGTCGGGTGTTCACCATACGGGCTTCGCGCTTCTCAAGCAGTTTGTCGGTTTTTTCGCCATATGGGCTTCCCGCAAGGCACTATACAGGTCGAAGCACTTAGTAAGACCATCCACACAAAGTCCTTACACAAGTAGACTAATAGTATACCCCACTACCATATTCTAGTTAGTGACTGCTTTGTATTTACGTGTTGGAAGTAGGTCAGGACTCCTTTTTCCCCCAGGTGGTTTTCATCATCGTCCTGAACCACGTGATCGCTTGCTGCTGGTTCCTCACCGGGAAAATGTCTCACGACACAGGCGTGGCAGAGCACATGAATCCTCAATCCTCTAGACCCATCCTAAACCCGGAACGTCACAGCAGAAACGGTAGTTCGGCCACCATGAAGAAGACCTGCCGATATGTGATCCTCGGTTTTGTTTGATCTGCCTGATATAAACCGCCAGCAATCTCTTGTGGGTCGCTGAAGGAACCGTGCTTTCCCACATTGCCGAACATGGTGCTGGCAACCTCAGTTTGCCACCAGCCCCCAACAGGATCCTTAATGTAGATCCGAATCGAAAGTGTAACATTCTATGTGAGAGAAAGCATATCACTTGATGGGTGACTGCCTGCGCGAATTTCTTCCGGTGGCTTTCAGATTCATTGAGTCTTGAAGGCTTTGAGTTTCAAATCTTAGAGGAGTTGGTTGCGTCGTTTTGTCACCAATGCGCAACCCCGCCTAAACAGAACACCGAGACTCAAGCGCTTCACTGCTTTAGGGCTTCAGGTAGTTTGGCTTGCAAGGGTACGTAGTGTTTAGGGTTTGGGGTTTAGGGTGGTAGTTTGGGAGTATTCAAGGGCAATGGAATCGGAATCGGCTCGCGCAGGCCTGGAACGCAGTTGGCTAACAGACACGCCAAATGGCAATATGCTCGGCGAGGATAAGCTGCACCTTGGCAACAGCTTCGATCTATTGGGTTTCAGGCTTCCCAAGCCCTAAACCCTAAACCCTAAACCCTAAACCCTAAACCCTAAACCCTTCGGGTTTGGAGTTCAGGGTGTTCTGGCGCATCGCCCCAGGAGGCCGCAACTCGCCAATCGCTCTGAGCAGAGGAACCAATCACCCTCTTAGCAATAGAGTAGGCAACCTTTGACATTTTGGGGGGGTATTACAATCCCTGGAATATAGGGGCCTTAATGCTTACCTATACTATTTTGGGGGTTCCTTATTATGATCATCGTATAATCTACCCCAAAACCCTAATCTAACCATTAAGGCCCCTACATTACGCCGCCAAAGATCAACCTTTAGCTCCCCCAGAATGCTGAGGCGAGGAAGCTAGAAATCTCAGTCGTGCGTAGATGTCAACCTGGCAAAGTTGTGTCGGACGCGAACCTTGTAGCGACCATGCAAACTACTCTCAGCTGCAAAACAGTGATTTTCGGTGTTTAGGGATTCTTGTGCACGGTTTTGGGGCCTGGATGTTGCACCTGGGGTTCCAGCGATTGATTCAAGAAGCTTGTTGTCAAGACTACCGACTTCGGTTCTTGAAGCAAAACGCCCCTCAGCTTGTCCCTAGGTCCCAAGCTGCACACGCCCGACAAATCACTAAACCCAAAACCCGAAATCCTTATACCCTCAACCTGAAACCCTAAACTCCAAGCCCTAAACTCTGAAGCCGAAACCCTAAACCCTATGCTCTTAACCGTAGAATCTAGCTACAATGCCGACATGCTGAGGAAGGGCAAGTTCTCTTTTGTATATGGTCCGCCTACATACTACAACGGTTTCTATCAGGGTTACTGGAATAAAGGGCGTAGGGTTCAGGGTTTCCCCTGTCGGGGGATATTTGTACAAAACAGAGCTGTACTCAGCTCTTACGACAGAAGCCCTACTTTCTGCTACCTTCACCAGGGAACTAGGATCCTCACCCTCTGAGTTTCTCAACGGGTGAATCTACGGTCAGTAATTAACCCTGCACCCTAAACCCTCTGTGGAGTCCCAGGTATTGGTACACCACCTCCCTGCACTGGAGCTTGACACAGCACCTTGTTTGCAGGCTCTTTGGGTGTTGGTCGAAAGGAGCGACCCCCGGATCTTGCTTTTTCACCCTGCCCCACTTGATGTAAGTGCTACACCCCAAACCCTACCCAAAGTAAGTTCCTAGACGAAGCTACCTACGACATCGTGAGACCCTGAACCCCCAAACCTACGAAATCCTACCGTCAACTCTCCTCGAGGCGGATTGAGTCTCTGTGTGTATGTATGTCTCAGTGAGTACCCAGGTACATATGCTATATGATCCTTACGGAATCTCAGTCTAAAATCACCCAAAACTCTTCCCCCTCATGGTCATTCTGGGCCGTATTTAGTCCCATGAGAGCAGCTCTAGACTCCTGAACCCCCTTGATGGAGGGTTTTGCAGGGGTTTATCGGGGTTTTGAAGGCCTTCATCAGGGTCTTACGGGGTTGTAGGGTCCTGATAAAGATATGTACCTCAGGAGCGTCAAAGGCCTACATGATGTGAAGCATCTTTACTCATGACCACGCGGCTTACGAGTGTATGGGTAGGTATCTGTCCCTGTAATATAGGGGCCTTAATAATAGTCACCTATACTGGTTCCTTACTATTATAGTATAATATACCCCAAAACCTATTCTAGTTACTAAGGCCCCTACATTCGACTTTGCTTCGTTTGCTGCCGTGTTACGTGAAGAGGGTGCAGGAGCCAGGTCTACGTCAGAAACCCTAAACCAAGGATTAACATGTGTAAAATGTATGGGTCTACATCTTCAGCAATAACATCCCCTTGATATTTTTCCATGATAGACCCTGAACCCCCCCGTTCTCATTATTCAGGGCCCCCGCTAAACCCTAAACCCGAACCCCCAGTCTCACTAGCCAGGCAACCAAAACAAGTGGATTCTCTGGCTTCGGCCCAGGTTCACACCGGCATCCATGGAAGTATCGGCGAGGAATGTTCCGGAGAGGGTGCGCGCAGTAGGAGCCGTCTGAACCCCCATCCCGTATAACATATGGGTAGTTTTCAAAAATTAGGGTCCCTTTTAGGGTCCATTTTATAAGAGTGCCGTACTATGTTGGGGACCTAAAAAGGGACCTTAATTTAGACAACTACCCATATTATCTATGGGACATGAGTCGTAGAACAGCAAGATCGCCTCCATAGTCTTGGCATAACTTAGCGGCATGATGACCAGCCTCGTCATACGATGATCACCCTAAACCCTAAACCCTAAACCCTCAACCGCAACTCTAGTATGAGTCATCCACGCAACCCCGTTCTTCTTGGCTGGGCTCCTGCCTGTTGGTTTGAGTTTCATAGAAGCAGCTAGTTTCCCGGAGAGCATCATAGCCGCTGCTTCGGATACAAATCACTGGTCAGGGTGTATAGGCTTGAGTTTGACCTTTAATTTCCGGGTCAGAATAACGGTAACATTCCTTTATAGTCCCTAAAGAACCATTCGGTAGTTTCATGTGCCAGGGGTCTCCTGATATCCCGGATATCTCGCGTCTTCAAGATGGTATATGTTGCAGTGTCGGGCCGTAACAAGATTCTGTGTATCGCTGGGGGCAGTGAAGAAAGAGTCCCCGTGTCTTAAACCCGGGAACTAGGTGACTGTGTCGTAAGCCTGTAATAAACTAAGCCTCAAAACCCACGGGATGGTCATGCAAGCATGCGCCGAAGCGTGCCGAAGCTGTTGCAAAGAGGGTCACACCGACTACACAGCTGATGCGTGCGGTTGTCAATGCCCCTAGACCCGTGACCTTAGACCGGAATGTCGCCAAGTGAACCGGGACATTAACATCTTATCTTTCGAAGAGATTCTCAAGTCCCCAAGCACCTGTAATTGCTCACCTCCCTAAACTCATGAGTCTTCTTGGTCCCAAAAATTCTGGCATCCGATGCTGCCCCAACTTTCTGGCAGATCCTCTCCATTGCGGTTCTCTTCTTCGCACTCATCACTTTTTCCTCCTTTGCCTGGCGCCCGGGGGTTGGATTCGGAGGGAATTCGAAATTCGAGATTTCTCGTTATACACAGGATCTGGATCCCTAAACCCCAAGATCTGTGATGACTTGTGCACCGTGATCAGATGTTCTGGGTCCTTATTGGATACAATTTTACATTTTAGCCATAAGAAAAGCCAATAAGGATTGAACATAATCATTTTCAGTATATCCCCAACAGGGAACCAATGTTCTGAAACCTTTCGTGGGTTGATAGCTCCTTGGGAGGATGAACGGACTCTGGGCCTTGATTGCCGGCCTTTCCCTGAACACAGGTGTAGGGTTTAGGGACTCCAGACACAGGTGTCCGCAGTTGCTCCCTTCCTGGGCATGCTGGAGTTCCTAATCCGTTGTCCTGCTCTGAAACCCAAAAATCCTTCTGAAGCCCTTCGAAAAGCCCTTCTAAGCACTGGTAGAACCTGCTATACAACCCTTACAGACGGCTATTATTCAAGAATTCAGACAGGCATTGTCCATGGCCAGCTTTCTTTGGAAGTATTTCCTTTGCCCTCCCAATCCCTCCTGGGCCCTGTTGTGCACTTTTCGTTATGGAAGCATGGATAGTCAATTAGTAGTGGTTTTCCGCAGGCCTCCTCAATGTGATTCTAGTATAGTATACCTCACAAAGCTCAATACCCTATTCGAACTAGTAAGACCGCTACATTATCACTGCTTCTTGTTGCAAAGCTCTTTGCGGACGAGTCCTAAAGAAAGGTCCCTAATGCACTCCCGGATGTTGCAGTTTCCTCTCGGCAGCCGTGTATACTATGCCCAACCACCACAAGCCTGACTTGCAGAAAGTGCCCTAAACCCTCAGCCCTGAAGAAGGACCAGAAGCCTCGTCCTAGGTTGGCAGCATCACAACTTCCATGACTGCCCTTCGAAGCATGCAGCCAACTCAGTTGGTCACTGTTCAAGGTACGATTGACAATGGTTCTAAGGTGTTCGGGTTCAGGAAATCCTGGCCGCCGAGCGTCGGATGCAGATTCAGCCGTTCTGGGGTTTACGGACTACGGTGCTTTGACTTATACCCTTTAAATCTTAGCTGGCTGATTGGGCCTCATTTCCTGCGATACCCGGTAGGCTCGACAACATGCCCTTGCGAGATTTATGAAGACCCAACCCTAAGCCCCAAGCTCCAAGCCCGAAGCTCTAAACCCTAAGCCCAAATCGTCTTGCTCTTGAAAGAGAACGGCGCTTTGGTGTTAGGATCACGGTTCTAAACCCTAAACCCTAGTAAACCCTAACCTCCTAAACCCGAAACTGCAGTCCCTAAACCCCCAACTCTCAAGACCTCACTACTCGGATCCCGGGTATGACCACTATCGCAGGAGGAAGGGGCGGTTCACAAATCAGTCGTTTTACATTCTGACATCTGACTTGCTTTAACGATCAGTTAATTGAGCGTAGGATAATGCACGACTTCTCGAGTATACAGTACCTTAAGACTCCAGGTACCTACTATATAGGGCCCTAAGGGCTCTAGTACCTCATATAGTAGGTACATGGGGGGTTAGGGGTATGCATCAAGCCTGTCTTCTGGGGCATTCTCCCGTTCCGGCTGCTGGCCCAAGCGACCCGAAACGCTCGTCGTTCACCCCCAACTTTCCATCGCAGAATCCATGCAGCGTGTGCTTGTAGTGCTAGTGACTGCTAGTGAATACCCCCCTCTAACTCGAGGCGTGCGGACACGAAGAAGCAGTTCTGGATGCTCCGGCGCTTCTTGGCCATGAACGTGTTAAGACAATAACGCCCGGAGTCCTACACCCTTCAGCCAAAACCCGGCAAAGCATCAAAGTCCAGAATTAGATCGTCACAGACCCGAAATACGTACCCCAACTTCTGCTTCAAGACCTTACATGCCAAGGACTTCATGGCTACAAGCTAGAGCCTGTAAGCACGTCGCAGTCCCAATGCCCTGGAAGGTCGCGCACGATGGGCTTGTGGGTTCTAGCTTACAGTTAGGGGTTCCCAAAATCCGTTTGGGGTTTTGCATGGAGGGTCCCTGACGGCTCAGGCTCTGCAGTCCTAAATACACCGAAACCTCGAAATTCCAGAAGAGTTTGAAAGCTCAAACTGCAAGCCCTCAACCGCAACAGGCACGCCGACCCTTATCCCAGAACACAAAGCCCCAAGGTGTTACTTAGAGAAACAGAGGCTCGATAAGCATCATAAGCCCTAAACTGAACCCAGAAACCTGAGGTTTATAGTGCCTTGGGGATTGAGATTCAGGACTTGGGTTCAGGGTTTAGGGTTTAGGGTTGACGGAATCCCGATAATGCCAGTCCAGACAGGCCTTTAAGCCCACGAAGACCCTGCTCTCTGCTATCTAAGGTTACCTAAAATCCCTCAACCCTGAAACCTAAAAGCCCTGCAACCCTAAACCCTAAGCCCTTACGAAGCCTCATCTGCTATCTAAGGCTACCTGAACTCCAAGAAGATTTCGCGCCTTGCCTTTGGAACCTTGCGTTCGATGTGTCAGGATTTGGTTCCGGAAGTTGAAAGAGAGAGGAGTTTGGGCTTGGTGGTTTTGGTTTAGGGTTTAGGGGTTTAGGGGTTTAGGGGTTTAGGGTTTAGGGGTTCAGGATTTAGGGGTTAAGGGGTTTAGGGTTTAGGGGTTCAGGATTTAGGGGTTTAGGGCTAGGAGCCAGGTTGACCAGGGTGTTGAGGGTCTTTGTGCATGAGGACTATACAATACTATCTACTCCCAAACCCTAAACCCTAAACCTTATGTATTTTCACAGAGAACTGACCGGCACCAGTACCAACACGACAGCAGCAAGTCAACAGCAATCAAGCAGACCGTTTAGGGTGTAGGTTTTAGGGTTTTAGGGTTTAGGCTGTAGGGTTTAGGGTTTAGGGAGAGCACAGGCGCAAAGAGCTAACTCTCATATCAACGCCTGAGGCTCGAGTAGTAGCATGAAGCCTTCGTCATGCACATACTTGGACCCCCAAAAGCACGTAGAATAACAGCCTTGTTTATGGGCCAGTCTTTTACTTAAAGTTGGGGGGGGAGTTACGTACCATCTGTCTTCAGGGGTCGTCCGCTTTGCACGTAATGTCAGCTGCACCGATAGATGCTCTTAGCAGTATTTTGAGGGTTTCGGGTTTACGGGTTAAGGGTTTAGGGTTTAGGATTAGGGCCCGGGGCAGGAGTTTAGGGTTTTCTGGTTCAGGGGTTTTGGGGTTATAGGGTCTAAAGAGCGGCTGCAGGTATGCCACACGATCGAGAATCATCAAGTTCCTGGAGTTCCAATCAGCGAAGAGGCAGGCCGAAGTCAGCGACCGGATCGCAACCAGCAAGCTGTCTTCCGTGTCTTGTACAGCTTTGCCAGCGGCTTGGGACTTTTTTTAGGAGTTAGGGTTTAGGGTTTAGGACAGGGTGGCAGGCTTCTGATTAGGACTTTATTGTCTGAGATAAGATTCGGGAGTATGTTGCTGATGGGCTTGATGTGATGATCAGGAAGTAGAACTCCCACCCCCCCTCAAACAGCAAACCCTTTTAACCCCGTCACTGGCTGTAGAATCGAAAATATAGTAGGAGTGTGGAAAATTGCTATATACGGCGAAATGTTACGGTCATTATTCAAGCCGGCATCATAAATCCTCATAGCCATCCAACTTAAGCCTGAAACCAGCCAGGTCGCCGCTTTGCACTTGAGGAGTCCGCCTTTCAGCTTCCCCTTCAGGGCCCATGTACCTTGTAGTGTGTACTTTCACCTGAAACTGGTGTCTACTCATAGGCCCCATAGTAGTTCCTTTTTGGGATTACCTTATAGGATTCTAAATATGAACCCCCAAAAGGAACTACTATGTGGCCCTTTGGTATCTAGGCACTTGGTAGTGTATGTACTGTGCAGAGCATGTGGCTGAAGCATGGGAACACTGCGCAAGCTTGCCCTCTCGTTTCTTAGTCAGCCTTCCGAAAGCCTATAAGCCCTACACCCTAATCCCCGCACCCTAAACCTAAAGCCCAATCCCTATAAACCCTAATCAATCCCTGCACCCTAAACCCTAAACCCTATAAGCCCTAAGTAACCTGCACCCTGAACCCTAAACCGCTTGGTTGCACGGCCTCTTGCACGGAGCCCCGGGTCGAGTCAGGCAGAAACAAGAGCCCCTGAGAACTGATATAAAACCCAGACCCTAAACCTCCTGTACCCTAAACCCTAAACCTCGTATGTAAACCCTAAACCCTCACTTCCTATACCCTAAACCCTAAACTTCCTATGCCCGAAACCCTAAGCTTGCTATACCCTAAACCCTAAGATTCCTAAACCCTAAACCCTAAACTTCCTATATCCTACACCCTAAACTTCCTATAACCCAAACCCTAAACCTCGTATATAAACCCTAAACCCTCAACTTCCTATACCCTACACCCTAAACTTCCTATAACCCAAACCCTAAACTTCCTAAACCCTAAACCCTAAACTTCCTAAACCCGAAGCCTCCTAAACCTTTCACCAGAACCAGGTCAGGAAAGCATCGAGCAGCCTGGTTGCAGGTTTCGGGTCGCTGGCATGGAGAGGTAGTTGGGGTTTGGGGCTTAGGGGTTTTGGGTTTAGGGTTTAGGTCTTAGGGTTTAAGGGTTTAAGGCTTTGGGGTTTAGGTTTTGGGTCCGTTTAGGTTTTAGGGTTTAGGTCCATTCAGGTTTTTTAGGATTCAGGGGTTTTAGGGCTTAGGGGTTACTAGTTATTGTTTTGGTTTTCCGGGTGAGCAGTTCGGGTTTCGGGTGCGTGCTTCCTCAAAGGGTACTATGGGGTTCTATCACAGGGTCCCTGGAAGGGTACTGGATCACCAACGGTTCCAAAAAGAGGGCCCTAAACATTAAGCCCTAAACCCTAAACCCTGAATCCTAAACCCTAAACCCTAAACCCTGAACCCTGAACCCTGAACCCTAATCTCTATAAACCTAAACCGGTTCCCTTTAAGGGTGCCTTGTGGAGGGGAGCCAGGCTCCGAGCGTTTGAGCTTAGACTAAGCCGTCAGACCTGAAAGCCCTGAGCGTTGAGCTATCTTAGGGTTTAGGGTGTAGGGTTCAGGGTTTAAGGGTTTAGGGTTAGGGTTTAGGATTTAGGATTCAGGGTTTAGGGTTTAGGGTTCAGGGTTTAGGGTTCAGGGTTTACGGTTTAGGGTTTAGGGTTTGAGCTACCCAAACCTTGGGCTTTTGTAGGTCCTTGCTATAAACCCATAGGGACCTTACACAAATGCAGGATTTGGTTGGATAAGGTGTACCCTAAACCTTTAACGCATCCTTACACCCTAACCCCAAGGGCCCTAAGTACCTACCTAGTAGAATGTAGGGTTCCATTAGGCATGATTTTTAATGATATGGGCAAGTATCCCCCATAAGAGTACCTTGGACCTTGTGGGTACCCGCCCCATAGTAGTTCCTTTCGGGTTTCATATTTAGAATCCTAGAACGTAATCCCAAAAAGGAACTACTATGGGGCCTAAGGGTAAGCTAAGCACGGCAAGGATCCTGGACATGTTGTCGGTCCCCTTGCAGAACCTGCTCCAGTACGAGCTGCGGAAGCAGTACATGGAGGTGGGGGAGCCGGGCCCATAGTCAAAACAGATAAACGCGATACCCCTAAACCCTAAACTTCCTAAACCCCCTAAACCCTAAAACCCCAAAACCCCTAAGGCCTAAAGCCCCTAAAACCCCTAAACCCTATAAACCTTGATAAGGCCCTAAGCATTTCTAAAGCATTATAAAACGCTTACATAAAAACCCTACAAAGCCGAGTAAGTAAGCAGACCCAAAACAACTTGTAAAGCACATGAGCACCCGATAGCGCCCTCGATCCAAGAACCCTCGCCTGAGGGTCGAAACCATGTTGAAAGCTGGGCTCCGCCTCTAAGCCAGGGCTGCGTTGATGCTTGTGTGCATGCAGGCGTCATTCTGCATGTATATGACAATCCATGGTTAGTTAGTTGTGATAAAATCCAGATGCTTCTGTGTTATGTATATATATATAATATATATATATATATGTTAAATGTACATACAGGTTTGAAACTTGCACACAGACTGGCATTACACCATACAGCGCCATGCCGTGCCATGCCCTTCGCTCACCTCGCCTCGCGCCACCACACAATAGGACGTAGTCCAATCCTGCCCTACCTGCCTACATTCACGGGCATTTACATGCATGCACACCAACATGCGGACATACGGAGACAGATAGGCGGACAGAGAGACTCGATAGGGCTCATGAGCCAACCCTAATCCCCCGGTTACCTACTATATAGGGTACTAGAGCCCCTAAGGCCCTATATAGTAGGTACTTGGAGGGTTAGGGCAACATGTTTGGTCTGCAGATTTAGCATGCGGGGCTTTAGTTTTGGATCTCTGTGCGCCGCTGCTTTTCACTACAGCATGCTTACTGTCGGCATTATTACCTAAGCCGCTACACTCCTAGCCCCTCCTAAACCCTAAACTTCCCTAAACCCAAAGCCTAAACCCTGAACCCTAAACCCTATTAGTTAATACAAAACCTTATCCCCTAAACAACTACATTGTGCACCGTATTCTTCCCAAGTGGCAGGCTCATCCTTTCTTCGCCTACCTTCAGGCCGGATGGGATGCATGGGAGGTCCTTACTTGTAGGAAGGATTGGGTTTAGGGTTTTGGGTTTTAGGGCTTGGGGTTTAGGGTGATCCTTTATGTAGGGGTCCTCACGATCACTAAGGATCCTGGTATTTTGAGGTTTCGCAGAGTTCGACCCTAAACTGAGCCTTGGACCCTCCATCCTCCTTTCCCCCCCAACAGCCGGAGTTCTCCGTAGCTCCAGCCCAAAGCCTAAACCCTAGACCCTAAACCCTAGGCGCTAGACCCTAGACCCTAGACCCTAGACCCTAGACCCTAGACCCTAGACCCCCTAGACCGTAGACCCTTGACCCTAGACCCTAAACCCTAAACCCTAAACCCCAAGCCCGTCAAGTCCGAAATCCTCAACCTTACTCCGAAACCTCATGACCTCAAACCCCTGGGCCCCATAAGCACTTCACAAATAGGGTTTAGGGTTTAGGGCTTGGGGGGGTTTAGGGGGGTTATAGGGTTTAAGTTTAGGGTTTGGGGGGTTTAGGGGCCTAAAGTCCCGCACGAGTCCCTTCACGCCTTCGTGTGAAACTCCACAAGCCCTGAGCCCCAAAAGCAGTAAGCCCAAGAAGTTCTTACAAGGCTGGTACCTATTATGGATGGCATAAATGTTTAAGGTGTATATATATATATAGCCTACAAACAGGCTGGTACTTATTATGGATGACATGAATGCTTAAGGTGTATATATATATGTATATATATATAGCGTATAAACAGGCTGGTACTTCTTATGGATGACATAAATGTTTAAGGTTTATAGCATATCAACCTTAACCATCTACTTCACTCCGAATACCCGCCTTGTAAGAATCATGAGATGACCCTTTCGTCAAGCACCCTGAATCCTGCAGCCATTATGGCAAACCCTGAAGGGCCTTTCCTTTCTCCCAAGCTCTACTAACCCCCCTGAGGCAACCCATATGGAAACCCTCTTACAGAACCCTGATAGAAACGCCTGGAACGCTTATGAGGACGCTGACAAGAACTTTCGTTGCCAAGCCATAAGAGTCATGACAAGGAACATATGCGTCCGGTGATGATTCGACTCTGTTCTCGGGCCACTTGGTGTGAACGTTTGGCGGGGTGTGGAGAGCTCCTTGAAGGGTCGCAGAGGTTTCTTTATTAGAGGGTTTGGGTTAAGACCCTAAACCCTAAACCCTAAGGGTTTAGGCGTTTCGAGGGTGCTTTTGAGGATTTAGAGGGCTTATAGGCTTAATCGGGTGTCTAAGATTTCTTGAAGGGCTCGCTTGTTCCAGGCTGCAGCTTGTCACCTTGGTCTTTCTGCGTTTACCTTAACCTACCAAAACCTACTTTTTTGTAGGGTCCCTATAAATTCCCTCTTAGGGTTTATAATGAGAACCTACAAAAAACTAGGCTTTGGCAGGTTAAGGTAGGGTTTAGGGTTTAGTGACAAATGCTGCCGCGAGGGTCGAGGTGTAACCAGATTGGCTACGTTGCTTTTTGGCGGGGCATGCTTTTCATGGGCCCATACTGCTAGTAAGGGTTGAGATGAATTCGGGTGTATAGAAAAGTATGTGTGTGGGATATACCTACATGCACATAATGACCGCTAGGCCGTCCCTCGAAACATGACATTGTATCATCACACCTTTCGGAATCAAGCTATGACTATAAGACTGTTTAGGCTTGAACCTTTAAAGTCCCACCGCACAGTCTTCTACAGGGTAAGAGGTAGTGCAACAACGAGGAACATGAACCTTTCACCACAGCCCCCCGCAGCCAAGAGCCTTCACTTCGCCGGCCGGCAGCACACGACGACCTAAACACGAAGCCGAAGAAAACTTGATTAGAGCCCTTAAATTAAAAGGAGCTAGGTAGCTAGGCCCAACCTTGTACCCTAATCCTTAAACTCCATACCCTAAGCCCTAAACCCCCGAGAACTAAACCCCAAATCCTAATCCCGAAACCCTGAGCCCCAAACCGTAAACCCCAAAGCCAGGCCTAAACCCTAAGCCCGAAGCCTTAACCTTTATACTGTGCTCATGATCCGGAACCCTAAACCCCAAAATCCTGCACCCTAGCCCTTGTATCCTTACATAAACCCAAAAGCCCGAAACCCCTAAACCCCAAACTACTCCCGCAAAGACCCAAAGCCCAAACCCTGAAACCCTAAACCTGAATCCTTACATCCTTACAATCCCTAAACCCTGAACCCCTAAACCCTGAAACCCTAAACCCTAAACCCTGAAACCCTGTAAACCCTAAAACCCCAAACTCCTAAAGCCTAAACCCTCCTGAAACCCTAAACCCTGAAACCCTGAAGCCCTAAACCTTATAACTTATAACCCTAAACCCTGAGACCCTAAACCGTAAACCCTGCAACGCCTAAATCTTATTACCCTAAACTAAACCCGGAGACCCTAAACCCTAAACCCTAAACCCTAAACCCTAAACCCCAATTAGATCAAAAGGTATTGAAGTTCGTGCCTTTTGCTCCCGAGGACCCGGGAGCCTCCGGGTTTTGGAAATTTTGGGTTTAGGGTTTAGGGTTTAGGGTTTAGGGTTTTCAGGGTTCAGATTTTTTTTTCAGGTTTTAAGGGCTCAGGGTTTAGGGGTTTTAGGGTGTTTGGGCTTTTGGGTTTAAGGGTTTAGGGGTTGTAGGGGTTTTAGGTGGTTTGGGCTTTTGGGTTTAGGGGTTTTAGGGGTTTTGGGCTTTTGGGTTTAGGGGTTTAGGGGTTTAGGGGGTTTAGGGGTTTTAGGGTTTAGGGTGTAGGGTTTTTAGGGTTCAGGGCTTGCGGTTTGAGCTGTTGGAGGGTTGAGGGGTTCACTAGGTTGGCCGCCTTTGGGGGATCCTACATTTTCCCTCAGTTTTCAAAAGAGGATATTGATTTACGAAAATTTAACAGAGGCTTCACAGGACAAACCCTGTCTAGGGTTCATCCTGTATAGGGTTGAGATTTAAGAGATTGGGGATTTTAGGGCTTAGGGTGCAAGTTTTGGGGGGTTTGAGGGGTTCTGGTTTCGAGCTTAGTGTTCAAAGTGTGAGGCTACAGTTTTTTTGGAAAAGAAAGGGGGGGGGGTTAGGGTTTCCGGCAGCTGTATAAGTAGAGGTGTTTTAGGATCAGTTTCGTAATTTGGGCCCTTCCGGCTTCGGGTGTAGGGGTCTGCCCGGTGTCAAGGGCGTTCAGGCTTTGCGATTGATCCCGAAGGGTCCAAGTACCAATAGCTACTTTGTGGTACTTGGGCCCCCAAAGTATATACTATACTATAACTTGGACCCGTTGGGGATGAGTTGAGGACTTTAGGGTTTTGGGTTTACACGGCGCCTCCTGCTAGTTCGTTCGCTCTGAACCCGAAGCATGAAGGGTCATGGATACTTCCAAGTAGGACAAGTAAGGTGACCGAAAAGGTAAGTGTAGGTAGCTTATAGTGACGTGGTTTCTCATAACATCCACCCTGAAGGAATTCGCAGAATTCGTTGTATGCACCTTTGAACCCAATCTTAGCTTTGTTACCGTGGTCCATGCTGGAGACCTGGCGCGCATACGCCGGGAGATTGTGGACGAGGTCCTCCAGCTGGTCGAGGACTGGGAAGATGACACGCAGGAGTGGCTGCGGGCCCTACCCCCGCACCTATACCACGGCCGACCGGCCCCGCCCCCTTGAGGGCTCATTGCACCACCACTGAGCCACTGAGGCTGAAGTACACGACGTGGGGAAAAGCCTGTGGATGTCGCTTTCAAACTCAACTCCTCACAGGGACGGAGTGAAGACCGGCGTTGTGATGCAGGGTGCCGTCTGTGATCGTTGGGAAGCGGGGAACAGGTTATATTATAGGTTCCGACGAGGGAATAGAGTCCTTTCACAATTGTGGTTTCGGACGTGAACTTTCCAACAGCTTGAAAGCCCAAGCCTACACGCTAAATAAAACAGATATCTGAAGAACGCCGCATTTCCATCAAAGCCCGCGATCTTAGCCGCGATCTTGAAAGTCCTACAACACAGTGCTTCTTTAGCCTGAACGCAAACACCAGTAGAATGTAGGGTTCTATATTGAGAATAGCTGTTATGATTTTGGGAAGTATCCCCCAGAACAGTACCTAGGACCCTTCGGGGTAGAGATGACAAGCTCTAAACCCTAAACCCCAAACCCAGCTGTGTTGAAGTAGTTGCCGTGAATGCCAGGATGTCGTTTTCCGTTCCGGGGAAGAGTCCACGGCCATGCCACACCCCCATGTCTTTGTGCTGGGCTCCGAATGGTCCAACATAGGTATTACTCATGGGTTTGAGGGGCCCAAAGCATACAGGTAATTACTAAATTACTGTAGGGCTGACAGCTGTGGGCTTCATACCACCATTTTCCGCGGATTTCTCGGGCTGCAAGGTTAAGTTTGACGGATGTGGAGAGAAGTTACGGGATTTAGGTCTTAGCACCTAAATCTGCTCTATATTTCATGTGGTGCGGTTTAGGGCTGAGGTCTCGGAGTTTAGGGTTTATGCTTGAGAGTGTTGGGTTCTTTTCGCGCAGAACGGACTTTGCGCAATTCCTTGACTGCCCGACCTCAAACCTCAGCTGAGTCCTAAACCAGTGGACTTTAGGGTCAGGGTTTAGGCTTTAGGGTTCAGGGTTTGGGGTTTAGGGTTAAACACAAGGTTTTCACAATCTAAGAAGGCTGCTCCAAACTCACCCTTCCTCAATTTTCAATGATTGCGTCAATGTACGTATTCTACTAAACCCTAACCTCCCCTGCATCCTAAGCCCTAAACCCTCAGGTACAGAGAGGGATCGCACACAAAATTGGATTGTGGGGAGGCTTTTATTGGGATTAATTATTCGGTTTCGTTGCATGGGCGTGCGAAAGATTTCGGGAGTAGGAGTGAACAAGTGACAAGAGGAGTGAAGAAGCAAATAGGCCAATCAATCAATGATTCGACAAACTCGTAGTTACGTACGTATACTGAACTGAATTGCAGAAGTACATACCCCAGCTTCATCGTCAGCTTTGTGTAATATATGTGTTTGTACACATACACACATACACACACACATATAGATAGATAGATAGATAGATAGATAGATAGACAGACAGACAGACAGACAGACAGACAGACAGACAGACAGACAGACAGACAGACAGACAGACAGAGAGAGATAGATTGTTAGACAGACAGATAAATAGATAGGACTTCTTACACCCCAAACCCTAAACCCCTAAACCCTGAACCCTTAAACCCCTAAACCCTAAACCCAAAGTTGGAGCCTCCTCAAAGATTCTTCAGCCTTCAACCCGAAGCCCTCGACCCTAACTTGGAATTGAGGCAACCCTAAACCCTCAACCCTAAACTCTATACCCCCTAAACCCTAAACTCTCTAAGGCTCAAGAGCCTTGAGCCTTCCATCCTAAACCGCCGAAAAGGGGCTTTGGGCAGAGGTACGTCGTGCAATCGGGAGATGTGGAGTACCATGCGAAGACCGGATCTGGAAGAGCACCCAAAAGGCAAGGTAGCCCAGTATTAGGGTTTATAGGGCTCTGACCTTCTTCGGGATACTATGTGAAAAGCCCTATATATTCCCAAAGGTTAAACTTTGGTTCCACTTAGGTTGCTTGACCAGTAAGTTTCTGTACGATTGATGACCTGAACACACCCCGAAAATCGTCTTACAGATCCCTTAAGGAACCCTTAACGGGATCTATAAGGGCGTCAGGGTAGAGGGACTTGAGGAAAGAGCCCAAGAGGCACGAGTTTTTGTGGCCAGGGAATACGACAAACCCTAAACCGAAATCCCAAGCCTTAAATGACTAGACCCCCATACATAGCCCCTAAGCCCACAAGTTCTAGAACGGATATCTTCCAACCCAACAAGACCAATACTATTTTGGGGGACTCCTTATTTAGAGTAAAGTAGACCCCAAAGCCCCATTCTACTTAGCCCTAAACCCCAAACCCTAAACCGTGCCCCTATTTTCTGCACTTCACCACCGGCGCTTCGACGCTGCCGAGCTTTGCCCCAAGCAATCCCAATCTCCAGGCCCCAAGCAACTTAGGGGGTTGGGGTTCAGGGTATGTTATGGTATACCATGGTATATCATATCATCGCATATTATAGTATCTTTTATTTGGTATACTCTGGTAGGTTATAGTATATTATGTTTGGCATATTATGGTGCATTATGGTGTATGATGGCTTAGGGTTCGGGGATGATCGGTTTTACCCCTCAAGCTGGTAGGTCATGGCCCCCTACATGAAGGGGGGGTAGCAAAAAGATAGTAGGTATTTCGACCACATTGGGAGCAGCGCAGGCGACCGGCTTCCTTCAAGCAGCGCTGAACTCCAGATAAAGCGTTAACCCTAAACCCTAAAACCGAAAACTAAACCCTACGGTAATGCCAGCAGCCTACATTGGACGCAGGTTCAAGTTCCAAGTTTGCTTCATATACAAAGTTTGCTCAGTATGCAAAACCTGCATGCTGAATCATACTAGTTATTCCCCGAGCTTTCTTATTCTAATCCTAGGAAACTCAACTCCAGCCTCCTGTTCTAACTATGAGGAGCCCTACATTTGGAAAAGATCCCTGGTTTAGGGGTTTAGGGCTTAGAGGACGGATTGGGCTCGAACCATGAACGAAGAGCGCCTTGAAGTCTACAGAACGCCCCAAGTCACCGACCCTTTCTCACACCCCCTCCCCCACCACCAACGAAGATCGAACACCTAAAGCTACGACTTGTGTTTTGTTGTAGTATACTACATTATTACATTACATTCATTATATATATATACACATATATATATATATATGTGTATATGTATTTGCGTTTTCGTTATGTGCGCATCCGCTCACATGAACATATGAGAATCGATCGTAGAACACAGCAACAGAAACAGAGCGAGACAGGCTCGAAGTGGGCAGCAACGGTTGGATTGCGGAGGCCTCACTCTGGACCATGTGGCCGACACCTCGGAAGAAGTGCTTGATTCCGGGTTTTAGGGTTCAATATACGGGCCTTGATACTTGGAATAGGGTTTGGGGGTATGTTTGACTATAACTTTTTTTTATGGAGCCATCAAAACCCTACTCTAATTATTAAGGCCCGTCTACATTAGAGATTAGGGCTAGGGTGAGAGCCCGGTTGTAAAACTGCTGCAGCTCAAAAGCCAAGAAGGAGCCGTAAACCATACAAGCTAAACCCCATGATTTAGGGGTCTAAATATTTACCAATACT